CTTCTATGCTTTTTTCTTGTTTTCCTTTATTTATTTTATTTATTTGTTTATATATAATAAAAGGAGAAGAAGGGGCCCCTAATAAAATAAATATAATTATATTATTATATATAATATTAATAAAAAAAGGAATAAAAAAAATATATTTATTTTTTTCCTCGGGTGTACGTGGGGCCCCCAAATTTATTCTGGGGGCCCCCTATATTTTGCTGTTTTTTTTGCCCTTTTTTACCTTTTTATTCTTTAGATTCTTGCCGCTGCTGCTGGGGTACGAGGCAGCAGCAGCAGCAGCAGTATGTTTATCTCCATCAAGGTTATTTTTTCCTGTAGTTATTGATGAATATTCATCATCATCTGCTGCTGCTGCTGCTGCTGCTGCTGCAGGTGGTGGTACTATAGGTACTGCAGCAGCAACTGCAGCAGCAACTGCTAATTGGCTTTTTGCTGCTTGGCAGCAAATTGATTTCCTCCCTTTGCTGCTGCATGCATTCTACTGCAGCAGCAGCAGCGCAGCATTATGGATAATTGCTGCTCCTGCTGCACTATTTATGTCAGGTTTGCTGCTGCATATAGGGGAGCAGCAGCAGCAGCAGCAACCAGGTGTAACTACAAGATATAATCAGCAGCAGCAGCAGCAGCAGCAACAGCAGCAGCAGCAGCAGCAGCAAGTATACTACAATCAGCAGCATCAGCAGCAACAACAAAAGAAGGAAATAATAAATTTATTAATATTTATATATAAATATATAATATTTCTTCCTTTTTTTTCTTCTTTTTTTCTTCTTTTTTTCTTTTATTTATTTAATTATTATTATATTTGTTTATTAGGGTTTATTCCTCTCCTTTATTCCCTTAATTTTCTTGTATTTGTTGCTGACCCTGTAAGTATACTCATGCTGCTCCTGCTGCTGCTGCTGCTGCTGCTGTTGCTGTTGCTGCTGCTGCTGCTGCTGGTGGTAGTAGTATGTGTGCTATTTCCTGCTGCTGTTGTTGTTGTTGTTGTTGCTGCTCCTGCTGCTGCTGTTGCTGCTGTTGTTGCTGGTAGTAGTATGCTTGCTATTTCCTTCTGCTGTTGCTGCTGCTGCTGCTGCTGCAGTATCCAACAAAGGCACGACCTACCCTAATAATACCTGCTGTTGCTGTGTGTGCTGCTGCTGTTGCTGCTGCTGCTGTTGCTGCTGCTGCTGCTGCTGCTGCTGCTGCTGTGCTGCAGAAAATATCAATAAGTTATGGATTAGGAGGATGGCAATCTCTGGTGTCTGTACGTTGGTGTTTATGTATAATTAATTATTTATTTTATATATTTATTTCTCCTGTATATGATGGTTTGCTGCTTGCTGCTGCTGCTGCTGCTGCTGCACTATTATATATTATATCTATTCCTTCTATTAAATATTCTATACCTGCTGCTGTTGCTGCTGCAGCAACTGCAGCAGCAATTGCTGCTAATGCTGCAGCAGAAGGCAAACAGGGAAAGTATTATGATCTTATACAAAGTCATGGATTTATTCTTGCTGCTGCTGCTGCTGCTGCTGCTGCATGCGCAGCAGCAATTTATATTAAACATTTTTTTGCCATAATTACTGCCCCTACATCAGTAAGTCTATATTTATTTATTTATTTATTTATTTACTTATTTATTTATTTATTTATTTATTTATTTTATTTATTTATTTATTATTTATTTATATTTATTTTATTCTCTTTTTTTCTTTATTTATTTATATCTTTGTGTTCTTTATTATTAATTATTATTTATTTATTATTTATTATTATATATTTATTTGTTTATTTTATTTATTTTATTTATTTATTTATTTATTTATTTATTTATTTATTTATTTATTTATTTATTTATTTATTTAGGCACAAAGAAAAATAATAGGGAAAACATTAACAATAATTTGTTTATATTTTTCTTTTTTTTTTCTTCCTTTTTCTTCTCCTTTTCCTCCTACCTCTATTAAAGAATTGTAGGTTATTATTCTTTTTATTTATTTATTTATTTATTTATTTATTTATTTATTTATTTATTTATTTATTTATTTA